CAACAACACGCTCTCTTGCGTTACCCAAGTCCTATCCAGATGTCCAAGACCCCAAACTACCTTATCATTGCCAGAATAAACGATCCCTAATCATTCGAGCATCAGACTACGCATATTCCTCATGGAACCCTTAGATCCATTTTAGTCTTTTCTTCTAGTGCTTCTAATATTTTTCCAGGGTGGTTAAGCCCTTTTTAACACAGTAGTAGTTGGAGGTAAGGGAGAAAAAGAGAGAGATGCACAATAACCCACAGTTCTGGACACCTTTGGGGAAAAAGTTTGCAATTCCAGTCCCTGAACTTGGCCAGGACAATCCTCCTGTTTTAGGATATCAACTGCCCAAACACATACCTCTTGTTGAAGCAAACAGGAAGCAGTTCCTTTCACATTTTTCAACTCCACTCATGCTCACCAACTCTCTAACAGCAACCAGCAGTCATTCCAAGGAAATACTGCTCAGACTATTATCATTAGAATACCGGGACTATGGGATCCCTGAGTGGCGCAGCGGTTTGGCGCCTGCCTTTGGCCCAGGGCGCGATCCTGGAGACCCGGGATCGAATCCCATATCAGGCGCCCGGTGCATGGAGCCTGCTTCTCCCTCTGCCTGTGTCTCTGCCTCTCTCTCTCTCTCTGTGACTATCATAAAAATAAATAAAAATTAAAAAAAAAAAAGAATACTGGGACTAACTGCTACTATGATGTGGAATATGAGAAAGAAAAAGTTCCAAAAGGATCTTTCTCTGGAGGATGATGGAGGTATTGTGACATGCTCTCAAAATACCAAGGACTGCAGCTCTTAAGAATAAGGGTCTTTCGAAACTACTCTCCAGGCTCCATAAACTTACCCAAGGGCAGATAAGCAAGTACCTACTTTTTGTATGTTACCTTCATCTGTTAAGGGTAGAGACTACTACAAATAGACACTAAATTTGCCAAGGGGAAAACTAACAGGAATTAGTGAGATTAGAAAGTACTCAAAACAGGGCAGCCCTGGTGGCTCAACAGTTTAGCGCCACCTAAACCAGGGTGTGATCCTGGAGACCAGGGACTGAGTCCCACGTTGGGCTCCCTGCGTGGAGCCTGCTTCTCCCTCTGCCTGTGCCTCTCTTTCTCTGTCTTTCATGACTAAATAAATCTTTTTAAAAAGAAAGTACTCAAAACAGAATGCTTTATAAAATCCTAGTGTTGGGGCAGCCCGGGTGGCTCAGCGGTTTAGCACCATCTTCAGCCCAGAGCATGATCCTGGAGACCCTGGATCGAGTCCTGCATCGGGCTCCCTGCATGGAGCCTGCTTCTCCCTCTGCCTGTGTCTCTGCCACTCTCTCTCTGTGTCTCTCATGAATAAAAAAATAAAATTAAAAAAAGAATCCTAGTGTTTATTCTATAAACACCAATTCAAACAAGCTCATAACAGGAATAAGCAATATTCTTCAACACTTAAACTCATAGGCCTAACAAAACAGAAAGAAGCAAAAGCAAAAAAAAAAAAAAAAAAAAAAGCCCCTGAAGTGTAAGATAGTGCTTCAGTATTTTCAAAAGCTTAAAAGACTACCTCACCAAGCACGAATAAAGGTAAAGCAGCTTACCTCCAGAATAACTAACTCTAGGTGAAAGTTGGGATGAGAAAAGCTACTACTACTTTTCAGAGAAGAGGGAAAAAACAGCCTGAATAATCCCATTCAGATGACAAAAAAAAAAAATTTTTTTTTCACAGACTTTGGCCACAGGCCTGCACAAGCACAACTAGCATTCTACACAACTACACCTAACAAAGGAGAGATGAGATACTAGAATCTTCCTTGGAGCTTTCCGGGTGTGGATGGAGACTTTAATTTGCAAGATAACCATTCTCTCTGATAAAAACTGCTCCTACACACGCCAAGGGCAAACCAGAGTAGAGTCAGCTCTCTACCGGAGGTCCTGGATCTCTCCGGTGGCGCAGCCTTCAGAACCCTGCCTTGAGGGAAAAAGTTCAGCAAGGAAGTCCCAAGCTGTTCAATCTTTCTCTTCGATTTTTCTCAGTTCCTTCTAACTCTAAAGGGATGACAGGACCGGCATGCGGATGATTCCTCTGGGAACGACACACCTTGGGGCCCCTCCCAGACCCCAGCGCCCACTCCTCGCCCCGTCCCGAGGACTAGGAATCCACAAACTGGCCTGAAAAGGCTGGGGCAATAGAACAGTCACCTTCGCGGTGAGAAAGGGGGCGGAGGCAGGAATTCGGGTAGGGCTCTCCGGGAGGGGGCCGGGGCGGGCCGAATCCGATTCCAACACTGGCCCTCAGGTTGGAGGGGCGGCCAGAGGACCGCCCTCGGCCCTCGGCCCCCGCCCCCACTGCTGGGGGAAGGGGCGGGGGCTTCGGAGCTCCGCGGACTAAGCAGGGAGGAGGCAGAGGAGGGAAAGGGAGGCGGGGCGGGCAGGCCCAGCCCAGGAGCTGGGCGGTGCGACTCACCTCTGCTCCCGGCCTGCGGAGCCAGAGCGGCCAGGATCCCTCGCAGCTCCGAAGCGGAGATCCGGACACGCTCCAACCCCTCCGCCATCTTCGCGGCTGCTGCTACAGCTGCAGCCACTCCGCCACCGCCCCGCGCAGCCAGGAAACCACGACCGACGGGCGGCGCGCGCGCCTGCCCACCTCCCACCCGTGTCCCCGCCCCCTCCCGCCTTCCTCCCCCAACGACGGTGGCCGCACAGGGAGGAAAAGCTCAGAACTCAAGTTCAGCGGCTCCAGAGGGGTGGGGAGGCGGGCTCTGCGCGTGCGCAGAGGTGTGGTCGGGAAGGTGAGCTGAGGCTGGAATTGGGAGCGCGGCGCCTGTGAGGTGAGGAGAGGCCAGGCCACGCCAAGGCCGGGCCACGCGGGCGTTCGCGGCGATGGCTGCTGTTGCTGCTGTGGTGGCCATCGAGGACACTGGTGCTGGTGTGGGCTCGGGCTGACGGAGACACCCCACAATCTGGCCGCCTCCGGTCATCTTAGGCCGGGGTCTGCCGCGACAGACCCGGACTAGTGCCCCAGTCTTTTACTTGAGGACCTTAAAGGTCTTTTAAGAGCAGTTATTATCTGCCTCCTCCCCACCCCCCTCCTTTTTTTAGGTTGAGGAAACAGTCCTAGACTACCATAGGAAATTGCCCACGGTGACACGGTAGAGAAGTATCAGAGTAATGGCGGACTACATCCCCAAGACTCCTGACTTTTTTTTCCTTCCCCCACCCCCGACCTTTCTTTTTAAAAAATACAGTATAGTTGGCTCTTGCTGAGGGAAGATTGTGTGTAAGTAAATCAAGAGGTACTGTAAGTCGATTTGGGAAGTTCTGTATCATTGTGGATTCTGGGGAAAATGACTTGACTGGTATTTTAACTTCTTGTTCCTGAGCCTCTGTTCCGAAGGGTGGTGAAACTCCCTCCCCCAAGCTAACCGACACAGTCTACTGGACCTCTACACACCATCAAAAGAATAGTTACCAGTAATTTTCCTTAGACTAGGCCTAAAAGATTTGAACAATCTCTGACGGAACTCATTTAGTCCCTATTAGGTGGCACACATTTCGCCACCTTAGAGCGCTAAGCGCTTGTGGAGAAAGTCAATAGATATGCGAAAAGATTCAGTGTTTCTAAAGGGTGGTTGGTTAATTTGAGTTCGTCAGAGCAAATGGCAATCTTTAAAACAAACCAAAATAGGAAGAAATATTAATAACTAATTCATTTTAACATTGAAGTTATAGAGGACCTTGCGTCAAATTTTTTCAAAAGATGGAAAAATAACCTGAACAAAATTCTTAAGAAAACCATTGTTGCCAAATTGATGCAACAGCCCCTGTACTGTATATGAGATATGCCAAAAGTTTAACTCAACTCAAGAGAATTTACCAGAACTCAGAGAGGAAAATATAAAACTATGAGAGACAAGAATAGAACACATGGAGAATGGATCCAGAAAACTAATTATAAGATATGAGTTCCAGAAGGTGATAACAAGTGACTGAGAAGGAGTGAGAATCAAAGAAATAATAGAAGAAAATTTACTAAGTTAATGGGGAAATTTAAATTTAAGACAAATTTAGCCCTCAGACGTAAAGGTTCATGAGATACCAAGGTAAAAATAAATGAATAGGGCAGCCCCGCTGACTCAGCGGTTTAGCGCCGCCTTCAGCCCAGGGTGTGATCCTGGAGACCCGGGATTGAGTCTCATGTCGGGCTTCCTGCATGGAGCCTGCTTCTCCCTCTGCCTGTGTCTCTGCCTCACTCAGTGTCTCTCATGAATAAATAAAATATTTTTTTTAAAAAAAATTTAAAAATGAACAATCATATTTAGACTTGTATTACAATGAAAGCTTCTGAGATTATTAAAATGTGTTTGACATGATACAGTCAAGATGTGTAATTAAAAAAAGCCAGTTGCAGAACAAAATATAGAGTATGGTTTCATCTGAGCAGCATATAACTATTTATTTCATATGTAAGTTTGTGTAAAAATCCAAAGGAGTGCAAGAAAACACCAAAGTTTTTAAAGTGATTATCTTTGTAGAAGAGAGTAGATTTTAAAGGTTAGAGAGTGAAAAATCTTTATATTTCTATCATGTTTTAAATTCCTACAGTAGAAATTTGGTCACTTATGAGTAATCAAAAAATAGGTTAATGGGGAAGGAAGGAATTCAATTTCTAAAAACAAAAATTGTACTGGTCATGTTTGCTGAGCACAGAGTAGTAAAACTAGAATTAAATAACCACAGATTCAGCAAAATCTAACTACTTGGAAATTTTTTTTAATTTTAAATAACTCAGATCAAAAAAAGTAAAGCTTGGATTGTGGATGCTTTAAAAATTAAAATTAATAAAAAATTAAAATTTAAAAATTTAAAATTAATTAAAATCATTAAAGCAGTACTCTGAAAAAATTAATAGCCTGAGTGCTTTTATTTTCTTTAATGTAAGCTTTTTTTTTTTAATTTTATTTATTTATTCATGAAAGACACAGAGAGAGAGAGGCAGAGACACAGGCAGAGGGAGAAGCAGGCTCCATGCAGGGAGCCTGACGTGGGACTTGATCCTAGGTCTCCAGGATAGGCTCTGGGCTAAAGGCAGCGCTAAACCACTGAGCCACCGGGCTGCCTGAGTGCTTTTATTATTGAAGAATGTGATCTAGTAATTGCACTTCTGGGTATTTACCCCCAAAATACAAAAACACTAATTCAAAAGGGATACAAGCACCTTTATGTTTATTGCACCAGTATTCACAATAGCCAAATTATGGAAGCAGCCCCAGTGTCCATCAACAGATGAATAAATAGAGAAGATGTGGTACGTGTATATAATAGAATATTATTCAACCATAAAAAAAGAATGAAATTTTGCCATTTGCAACAACACGGATGGAGCTAGAGAGTATAAAGCTAAAAGAAGTAAATCAGTCTGTCAGAGAAGACAACCCGATTTCATTCATATGTGGAATTTAAGAAATGAAGGGAAAAGAGACCGAGAAAAAGACATGAGAACTGATGGTTACCAGAGGGGAGACTGGTGGGAGAATGGGTGAAATAGGTAAAGGGGATTAAAGAGTACACTTACCTGATAAGTATTGAGTAATGTGTAGGATTGTTGAATCCCTATATTGTATAACTGAAACTAATATAGCACTGTATGTTAACTATACCAGAATTAGGGCAGCCCCGGTGGCGCAGCGGTTTGGCGCCGCCTGCAGCCTGGGGTGTGATCCTGGAGACCCGGGATCGAGTCCCACATCGGGCTTCCTGCATGGAGCCTGCTTCTCCCTCTGCCTGTGTCTCTGGCTCTCTCTCGCTCTCTCTAAGTGAATAAATAAATAAATCTTTAAAAAAAAAAAAAACTATACCAGAATTAAAATTTTTCATTTAATGAAAGTTTTTAAAAACTTCAAAGTTTTAAAAGGATGAAAATTAAAGAAAAAAAAAAGGATGAAAATGATAATGGAACACCTGGGTGGCTCAGTCAATTAAGCATCCAACTCTTGGTTTCAGCTGGGGTCATGATGTCTCAGTAGTCAAATTGAGCCCCTCATCAGACTCCAGGATCAGTGCAGAGTTTGCTTCAGATTCCTTTTACCTCTCCCTTTGCCCCTTCCCTGATCGCATGCTCTCTCTAAAATGAATAAATAAAATCTTTTTTAAAAAATCAAAATAATTACTAAACAAGAGAGAAAACAGTAATAAAGATCAGAAATTAATAAAATAATAGCACTTGGTAAATAAAGAGCACATTCTTCAGAAATAAAATAGACAGGGACACCTGGGTGGCTCAGCGGTTTGATGCCTGCCTTCGGCCCAGGGTATGATCCCGGACTCCTGGGATTGAGTCCCGCATCAGGCTCCCTGCATGGAGCCTGCTTGTGTCTCTGCCTCTCTCTCTCTGTGTCTATCATGAATAAATAAAAATAAAATCTTTTTTTAAAAAATAAAATAGACCTTAAAAATAGACACATTTCTGGCAAGGGAAAAAAAAAAGACATCCTCTTGGATGTCTCATAATTCAAACTTAGCTCATCAAATCTCTGATTTTCTCTTAAAATACTTGTTTCTTCACTAGTCTTATATCTCAATAAATTATGCCATCATCTAAGTCAAAACCCCGAAGTTATCCTTAACACCTCCACCTCTGTCACTCCCACATTTAATCCAATATCAGGATAGGTCTCTTCTATCTGTATTGGATAGCTATGGTATTCATTACCTCAACATTCTCATTTTTTCTCTTGAAAACTGCCGCACTTCTCACTCAGAAGTACATTTTCTTTCCTTTTTTTCTTCTCACTTCTTTCATTTGCTTTTTTCCCCTCAGGTGCAGAGATTTGAGGCAGTCATACTATTTGGTTCATCAACAAGTCTTCTCATTTTCTGTCATCAACAAGTCCTTTCTCATTTTCTTTTTCTCCTTCATTCTAGTTATTCATGTTCCTTCCCTCACTTCTTAGGTAGCCACTCTAATGTGTTTAAAGACAAAGACATACATATATGTCTTTGGATATACATGTGTCTTTAAATAATATATCATTTTATGTATGTTTTTAAATGTACATGATTGATATTGTGTTATAGAAATCATTGTTTCTTTTTCACATTTCTGTAAATACTTCTGACTATTGCATAGTATTGTCAAATGACTTTACACCCTTGGCCACTGGTCCTGGGCCAAGATGTGCCAATCAGGATCCTTATCCAGAATTTTTGAACTGAAACTAAGGGGGAAAAAAAATCCCTTTCCAGTGTGGAAGCCATCAAATATAAAACACAGAAGCTGTCACAGTCAAATGTCCTGCCACGTGGAACCAGCTGGTCTCCAATGAAAAAGAATGAAGCCAACATGCAGAAAACAGCAGAGGTGAGAAACAATGAGAAAGTCCTGGATAAATCTCAAGTCCCTGTTTCCAGTTGTTCCTGAATTCCATATTCCTGCCCTTCCCATGGTTCAGCTCTTCTTGAATTCCACGAACCAGTAAATCTCATTACTTCCATCTTGTGCCTAAGCCAGTTTGTATTGGGATCCTATGACTTGCAACCGAGAGGCCTAATTATAATTTCCAAAATGTATCTCTTGTGCGTGTGTTTGTGTATGACTTTTCTCTTAATTGTGGTAAAGTCCATGTAACATGAAATATACCATTGTAACCATTTTTAAGTGTACAGTTCAGTGGTGTTAGGTGCATTGACATTGTTGTACAGCCAATCTCCAGAACTCTTTTTATCTTGGAAAACTGAAACTATACAACTTCCCATTCCTCCCCTCCCTCCACTCCCACCTCAACTTTTGATAACCACCATTTTAGTTTCTATGATTCTGACTACTCTAGGTACCTCACACAAGTATAATCATACAGTATGTTTCTTTGTGACTGGCTTATTTCACTTAGCGTGGTATCCCCAAGATTCATCCATGTAGCCTGTCAATTTCCTTCCTTTTTAAGCTTGAATGATATCCCGTTGTGTGTGTGTGTGTGTATATATTTACACACACACACATTTTATTTACCCATTCATCTGTTGATACCTGGGTTTTGCCCACCTTTTAGCTATGTACAATTATGTCTTTGAAACATTCTTTGAATTCTTTTGAGTATTTAACCAGAAGTGGAATTGCTGGATCATATGGTAATTGTTTAATTCTTTGAGGAACTGACATAATGTTCATACCAGCTGCACCATTTTATATTTCCACAAACAGTGCACAAAAACTCAAATGTCTCCATATCCTGGTAGACCCTTGTTTGTTTAATAGTAGTCATCCTAATAGGTGTAGGGTGTTATCCCATTGTGGTTTTCATTTGAATTTCCCTAGTGATTAGTGATGTTGAGCATCTTTTCATGTGCTTGTGTCCATCTGTATATCTTTAGAGAAATGCCCATTCAAGTCCTTTGCTCATTTTTAAATCAGATTTGTTTTTCCAAAATGTATCTTGATTATTTTTTCTTTTTTTTTTTAAAGATTTATTTATTTATTTATGATAGAGAGAGAGGCAGAGACACAGGAGGAGGGAGAAGCAGGCTCCATGCTGGGAGCCCGATGCGGGACTCCATCCTGGGACTCCAGGATCGCGCCCTGGGCCAAAGGCAGGCGCCAGACCGCTGAGCCACCCAGGGATCCCTTGATTATTTTTTCTATCCTCATTTCCACCATCTAAGCACCTGTGGATTTTCATGTAGATAATACTTTGTAAATGGACTCTGTGATTTCCATTATCTCTTTCCTTTTCATTCAACACAATGAAGCCAGAGCAATTTTCTGAAAATACAAATTCTAACATGTCATTTACCTACTCAAAATTGTCCAATGACATTCCATTGCTCTTCAGAAAAAAATTCATGAGTCATTGGCCCCTGCCAATTTCACTCTTTTTTTTTTTTTTTTCAATTTCACTCTCTTATCACACTCCCCTTTGATCACTATTTTCAGATACATTGGCCTTTTAGTTTCTGGAATAAGCTATGTTCCTTTCCTCCTTAAAGCCTTCACACATATTCCTTCCAAATGAAACACTTTTCCATCTACTCTGCCCATTCACCTTATGGGCCACAACTTAAATTTGACTTCTCTAGAGGACCTTCCCTAACCTCCTTCCTTGATCTAAATGCTCTCCCATTATAGTATCCTATCATAACACATTTCCTTGATATCACCTATCAGTATTTGTAACTATGTATTTATTTTTGGATTATTTATTATACATCTCTCTACTAGATTATAAGCTTTCAGAGCAGGGACGAGTCTATTTTTCTAACACCATATCCCCAGATCAAACAATATCTGATACATAGAGGTACTTGTTCAATGTTTAAATAGTACCAAAGATAGGAAGAATGCTTAGAAATATTAATACATTCAACTTTATACTAATATATTTGAAATTTCAAATTAGAGGATTTCTCCAAAAAATTAGATCTAAATTATCAAAATTAATTCAGGAGGAAGTGGCAAATCCTGATAAACCAAGTAGCTGTGAAATCACTGAAAAAATTACCAGAGGTATTCTTATAAGGAAAAACAAATTCTCTTTATTTGCAGATGGTGTTATTGGAGGGTGAACTATAAAATGATTAGATCTAACAAGGTAATCTAGTTAAGTGTCCTATTACATGATAAATATACAAAAATTACTTTATATATGTATCATCGGTAAGCAATTTAAAAATCTAATTAGGGGATTCCTGGGTGGCTTAGAGGTTTGGTGCCTGCCTTGGGCCCAGGGTGTGATCCTGGAATCCCAGGATCAAGTCCCACATCAGGCTCCCTGCATGGAGCCTGCTTCTCCCTCTGCCTGTATCTCTCCCACTCTCTCTCTCTCTGTCTCATTAATAAATAAATAAAATCTTTTTAAAAATCTCATTAAAGGGATCCCTGGGTGGCGCAGCGGTTTGGCGCCTGCCTTTGGCCCAGGGCGCGATCCTGGAGACCCGGGATCGAATCCCACATCGGGCTTCCGGTGCATGGAGCCTGCTTCTCCCTCTGCCTGTGTCTCTGCCTCTCTCTCTCTCTGTGACTATCATAAATAAATAAAAATTTTAAAAAAAAGTTTAAAAAAAATCTCATTAAAAAATACCTTCTCTCAAAAGCAACAAAAATATTTTGTACTTAGGCATAAATTTAATCAGATCTACACAGGACTTACATAATGAAAATCTCTTACTGAGAAACCTAAACCAAAAAGATTTTACTAAGTTGAAAGACACCCATGTTCATAGATGGGAAGGCTCAGTATTTTAAAATATCAATTATGCCCCCAGTTCATATATCTTAAACTGGCAACCTTGATAAAGGATTCTGAAAATTCATTTGAAAGAACTGATGTGTGAGAAAAGCCAGTATGTTTTAGAGTAATCGTGACAACATATTAAAACAGTGAACTGGAGAAGGGATTGGCAGTCTAATTAGTGGAACAAAACACAAAGTCCAGAAAGGTTCCAAGTGTTAATAGAAACTTAATTTTTTTAAAGATTTTATTTTATTTTATTTAAGATTTTATTTATTTATTCAGGAGAGCAGAGAGGCAGAGACACAGAGGGAGAAGCAGGCTCCATGCAGGGAGCCTGACGTGGGACTCGATCCTAGGTCTCCAGGATCACACTCTGGGCTGAAGTCAGCGCTAAACCACTGAGCCACTGGGGCTGCCCAGAAATTTAATTTTTGATAAACATCGCATTTCAGAAAAAAAATAGATGACTTGGTCAGTGTTATGTTAAAGATTCACAAAAGAATGTGGCCAATATACAGGAAAAAGTTTAATCACTAGTAAAACATATCCAAACTACTACACACATTTCATTAAATTGACAGATCAAGTGATACAACAGGGTGAAGGGAAAAAGGCCATTCCTTAGAAACAGCTGTTGGAAGTGTAAATCAGTGTAATATACAACTTCTCTGGAAGTTAGTTTGGTGGGCAGCCCAGGTGGCTCAGCAGTTTTTTTTTTTTTTAAAGATTTTATTTATTCATAGGGATGCAGAGAGTAGCAGAGACACAGGCAGAGGGAGAAGCAGGCTCCATGCAGAGATCCTGACGTGGGACTCGATCCAGGGTCTCCAGGATCACACCCTGGGCTGCTGGCGGCACTAAACCACCGGGGCTGCCCTGGCTCAGCAGTTTAGTGCCGCCTCCAGCCCAGGGCATGGTATGCATGGAAGTTAGTTTGGGAGTGGGTATCAAATGTCTTAGAAGTGTGCATACCTTTCGATGGAAAATGCCATTTGGCAGAATCTACCCACAAAAATCTTGCAGCTTATCTGTTCATTATATTATTATAGAGAAAAAATTATAGACAAAAGAAACTAAGTGATCAAGTTATGTAAAACTTTTTTAAAAAAACTATGGCAGCCCAGGTGGCTCAGCGGTTTAGCACCGCCTTCAGCCCAGGGCGTGATCCTGGAGACCTGGGTTCGAGTCCCATGTCAGGCTCCCTGCATAGAACCTGCTTCTCCCTCTGCCTGTGTCTGTGCCTCTCTCTCTCTTTCATGAATAAATAAATAAAATCTTTAAAAACCACACCCTTAAAACTATGGTATCTTTAAAAAGAAGCAGCCATTTAAAGTGTCCTGTATCTATTGATAAGCATAGATTTCATATTCATAATATTGTCTGAGAAAAAGCAAATTACCAAACCTATCAAAAAAGTTTTGTCTGTAGATGTATCTGGACCTGAGAAGATAAATCCTAAAACTTAGGTAGCAATTGTCTTTGGGGAGAAAATAGATAATTTTTTTTTAATTAAACATGCACTGCTTTGCTTGTTCATAAGGAATAAAGAGAAATTTCATGTTTAAATGCTATATTAAAAATAGTGAAAAATAAAAAACAAAACAAAATAGTGAAAAATAAGGATGCCTCAATGGCTCAGTGTTTTGAGTATCTGCTTTTGGCTTGGGGCATGATCTCGGGGTCCAGGGATTGAGATCTGCATCAGGCTCCCCATAGAGAGCCTGCTTCTCCCTCTTGCCTATGTCTCTGCCTCTTTGTGTCTTTCATGAATAATTAAATAAAATCTTTAAAAAATAGTGAAAAGTGGAAACAAGTTATTAAAAATTATAAAATTTTGAAGAAATTGAGACTAAAATAGGAGTAAACAATGTTATCTATGATTTTAACTGTCATATAATGTATGTATATAAAAAAACAGAAAATGAACATTTTTTTTTAATTTTTTTTTAATTTATTTATGATAGAGAGAGAGAGAGAGGCAGAGACACAGGCAGAGGGAGAAGCAGGCTCCATGCACCGGGAGCCCGACATGGGATTCGATCCCGGGTCTCCAGGATCGCGCCCTGGGCCAAAGGCAGGCGCCAAACCACTGCGCCACCCAGGGGTCCCGAAAATGAACATTATTAAGGTAGGGTTGTAAGCAATTTTTCCCCTTGTTAAATAATTTAAATATAAATATATAGCAGATTTTGAACCATTCAAACTTCACAACAATGATGAAAAAGTAGAGACCAGTGACAGTGCCAAGAGATGGATGGTATGGGTTAGGGGTAAGCTTTAAGCCTTCCATAATCACCAATTACTTCCTATAAAGCTTCACCAGGAAAAAAACACATTTACTAAGAAATTCAGCTTCAAGACAAGTTCCCTTCTATACAGATTCTGGAGCCCCAGAATTAGACACCATTCCATTAATAACACGGACCCCAGGTGTATTTTCCTGTTGTGCATTTCCCTTTTTCCCCCTTTGAGATTTTTTTTTTAGAGCAATTTAAGGTTCACAGCAAGACCGATGGGTAGTTAAGACTTCCCACATATCCCATACCCCCACAAAAGCAGAGCTTCCCCCATTATCAACATCCCCTATCAGAGTGGGATTGTTATAATTGAACCTGTATTACTCATCATTACAACTCAGAGTCTATGGTACATTATGGTTCACTCTTGGTGTTGTACATTCTATGGGTCTGTTTGCCATTTTCAAAATCTTTTCATTAAATATATTGTCCCAGGCTTTGCTTTCATCCCTTTTTTATTCCTGGGTTCCAGAACCATGTGTGCTCAGTACTGCATCTCCTTTGCTGATGTTGAAAAAGCTCATGTCAACATTCAAGATTTTATTCACCTCACACCAGTGCTAACAAGCTTCATTTTGAATCAAGTAACAGGGCGCAATCTTTTCTTCAAATGTGAACTCTTTCAGAAAACTGGATCTTTTAAGGTAACAATTCCTTTTGATACTGTATCATGTATCTTTTCAAACCAGTTCACATATATACATTTATTTGGTCCTCCTGACCACCCAGGGAAGTAGGTAGAATTATTTTTATAGCTGAAGAAACAGCTTTGATCAAGCCCTGGTTACTTAGCATCGTGGTATTTACAAGCCACTTTTACATAATCTCAAAATTTCTTATATTGGAGTAATGATAGAAAGATTTCTGGGGGTGCCTGACTGGCTCAGTTGGAAAAACATGTGACTCTTGATTTTGGGGTGAGTTTGAGCCCACTTTGTGTATAGAGATTGAATAGTTTTTTATAACTTAAAAATACATAGATTTCTGTGTCCATTCACTGCAGTAATTTCTGTTAATTGAGTTTTAAGATCTTCAGGTAAAAATCTGAAAGTTGCATTTGGCACTGTGCCTGACAGGTATTAGTACCAGTTAAGTGGTATTCTAGGACTACCTTTTCCCCATCCATTAATGAGCATTTTTATGATAAACACTCTCTATTCTCTTTTGCCCTTTTCTTCTGCCATGGCTTTTCATTCATCCTACATCAAATACTTATATTCACTAGCTATACTAGGCACACACACACACACACACACACACACACACACACCATACACAGGTTTTGTACTATTATCCACACTTGCAGGGGAAGACAGGCTAGTCAACAAGCAGGTTAATGACAAGTAACTTGAGAGATACAGATAAAATGCCATGGCATGAAAGGCCTAGTTTTGCAAGGGAGATCAAGGAAGTTGAACTAGGTGATGTTTGATCCAAATTTTACAAGGTGAGTATTTTTAGCGAGATCCAAGAGTGAAGTAAAAGAATTATAGGTAGGGGTACCAGCATGCTGAGAAGTACAAGAGTGTGAGCTATCCCGTAGGAGGGAAACGAAGCAATTTAGGATAGCTACAAAAGTGACAGAAGCAGTAAATCTTTTAAAAAGACTGCAACTTAAAAAGGAATTTGTACTTACAAAACAGGCAATGAAAAAGCCAACTTTTTAAAAGGCACTTTCATAATCTAGTGGAAATATTTGAGAATGATCCTTGGGGAAGGATCAGTTGAGTTTTGGGAACATGCAAGTTGAGAAATGAGGCTTCACCAAGTTAGTGGCAAAGGCTCACGTGAGATATTTCAGAGGTACAATCAACCGGATTTCGTGAGGAAATAATGTGCAGTGCTAGGAAGAGAAAATCTAGAAAAGCTCCTTGGTGTTTTGAAAAGAAATTTTTAAATAAAATACATGGTCTCACCATCCCTCTTCCAGATTCGTGGTGCCATTAATGCAATCAAAGGCTTGACTCCTGCCACCTCAGAAGATAAGCCCAAAGCTGTGGTTACTCACAGCAGTGGAAATCATGGCCAGGCTCTTGCCTACGCTGCCAAATTAGAAGGTACTTGACTAATTTCTCAAGATACTGGGTAGGATCAGCAGAGAAGGAAGAGTGGAAAGGTATTCTTTCAGTGAGATTGGTAATAACTGTGGGAAGGTCATTTCCAGGTTCCTATCTCATAATAAGCAAATTGAACAACAGTTTCTATCCTAAATTCTCCTGATCTGTACTAACTACACGTTTCTCCCACCCAGGCATTCCTGCTTATATTGTGGTGCCCCAAACGGCTCCCAACTGTAAAAAAATGGCAATACAAGCCTATGGAGCCTCCATAGTGTACAGTGAACAGAATGATGAGGTAAGGGAGAGCAGCGTTCAGTGTCACCATAACAACTTTCACCATCAAATAAAACTTCTCTTCCTATTAGCTATTTCTTATATACCGTTTCCTCTTCATCTCTCCATGTTAGCATGCCCAACCTTTTATCTACCTATACTAAGATGAGATCATTAATCTCATAGTTTAAAATATCACCTATACTCTGGGGCACCCACGTGGCTCAGTCAGTTGGGTGACCAACTCTTGGTTTTGGCTCAGACTCAGTATATAACCTATACTCTAATTCCAGCCCTGACCTTGGCCCTTAACCCTTGGGCCATCCCCTTTAAGACTTGGATTGGGTATGTCCAATGATTATCTGATACGCCCACTTGGAATGTCTTAATAGGCATCTCAAACTCAGCACATCTAAACCAAACTCCTGATCTTCCTCCCAATGCTACTCTTCTTCCAGTCCTTTCCTTCTCAGTAAATGGCAACTTTTATTCTTCTAGTTGCTCAAAATAACTAACAGCCTCTACCATCAATGCCGATTCAAACAGAGCATCAATTTTCACTTAGACACAGTAGCCTAACTGGTCTCTTTCTACCTTTGCCCCACTAGTCTATTTTCTGACAAATAAGAACTATCCATTTAATAAGTCAGAACTTGTCTCATCAGCTGAAAATCCTCCAATGGTTTCCTATCTTATATACAGTGGTAACCAAAGTTCTTGCAATCATCCAAGGCCTGGATGAAACGGTCATTCCAGTTTGACATCATCTTCCACTACTACTGTCCCATCAAACAACCCACACCAACCCCATTAACCTAGCCTTTTCTTGGAAAAGCCAAGCACTCCTACTTTGTGGTCTTTGCACTTGCTGTTACTCTCCCTCTAGAATATTCTGGAGATCCACAGCACTTGTTCAAACCTATTAAAATGTCACATTAGCAAAGGACCTTCATCATGAGCACCTTCTAAAAAACAGATTTTTTCTCCATAGCATTTAGACATACCATGTATGTAGTTATATGCCACCCCTCCCCTGCATATGAGAACTTAATTCCAGGGCTCCTGGGTGTCTCAGCTGATTAAGATCTGTCTTTGGCTCAAGTCATGATCTCTCAAGTCCTGGGATGAGGTCCCCTTATCAGATTCCCTGCTCAGTGAGGAGTCTGCTTCTCCCTCTGCCTCCTGCTCACTCACATCCTCTCTCTCAAATAAATAATAAAATCTTAAAAAGGAAAAATAGGGCAGCCCGGGTGGCTCAGCAGTTTAATGCCGCCTTCAGCCCAGGGCCTGATCCTGGAGTCCTGGGATCGAGTCCCACGTCAGGCTCCCTGCATGGAGCCTGCCTCTCCCTCTCTATCTCTCTCATGAATAAATAAATAAAATCTTAAAAAAAAAAGAAAGAAAGAAAGAAAGAAAAATAACTCCACTGAGCACAGGGACTATTTTCTTCATTGTTACATACCCAGTCCAGTACCCAAGAAAGTCTGAAAAAAATAAAAAAAGGCTAATGAAGTATTAATGAAATCTAGCTTGTTGGGAACTCTAGAAAATACAAATTAAATACATCAAAAAATTTTTGAATACATTAATTTAACTTATTCTTTCAGTCCAGAGAAAATCTTACAAGAAGAATTATGGAAGAAACAGAAGGCATCATGGTACATCCCAACCAAGAGCCTGCAGTGATAGCTGGGCAAGGGACAATTGCTATGGAAGTACTAAACCAGGTAAGAGCTGTTTATTTTTTTTAGCTACCAGTAAAACTGTTGGCTGTAGAGTCAGCCAACAGAGTCAAAAAATATACATTATTTTATGTATGTATAAAATTGGTTATTAATAGACTTATATTTTATATTCTTTTCACTAAAGGTACCCTTGGTAGATGCACTGGTGGTACCTGTAGGAGGAGGAGGAATGGTTGCTGGAATAGCAATTACAGTTAAGGTAAGAAAATAGCTTCTGGAGGACTTGCTGCTTCAGGCATAGAGAATTTTATTTTATATAGTACACTGAGGATATTTGGCTCAACATCTCCCCCCAAATTGCTATTCCTTCCCATCAATCCTTGGCACTTGAAATAGAAGGCTCTTCTGTGCCCTGTTGTTAATCTGTTGCAACTTTACAGGGCAAAAAGCAATTACAGTCCTTTCTCTGAATTATACTTCAACAACTCACTATCCAAGTCAGAAGCTACTCTTTTTCCCTAGTTACCAGAACCAGATGTGACCTAAGCAACATCTAATGGGTAGTATTAGGCATACAACTTAAAATGCTGAAGGTCTAATTTTTATTACATTGATCAAAGGAAAGGCTCTTGTACAGAATTGAATTACCTGTATTGCCTATTTTACTATAGGTATGCAGGCAAAATGCTGTGGCTAGTTGTAAGGTGTCTAATATTCCTCTTCCCAGGCTCTCAGACCTAGTGTGAAGGTATATGCTGCTGAACCCTTGAATGCAGATGACTGCTACCAGTCCAAGCTGAAAGGGGAACTGACTCCCAATCCCTATCCTCCAGAAACCATAGCAGATGGTGTCAAGTCCAGCATTGGCTTAAACACGTGGCCTATTATAAGGGACCTTGTTGATGATGTCTTCACAGTCACAGAGGAAGAAATTAAGGTGAGGCTCTGATAGGAAAATATGAAAGAATGAAGCAACTTCTTAGGCCAAAGAGTCTTCTCCTGTTATAAGTAGCAAGTTATTCCCTGGGGACTTGGCTAGGTGACTTTATGATGTCTGGGAGGGTGCCCCAGATTTATTAAAACAACCCTCTCAACAGTAGATGCAGAGTTAGGATGGGGAAAAAAAGCCCTGCCCTTCATTGGCAAGCATATACATATGGCCAAAATGAAAAGTCAGACTGGGCATATAACCTTACTTGGCCTTTAACTGTAAAGGCCAATCAGCTAGGCTCTTTCCCCTTCTCCCATTTCACTAATTCTTACTCCCTTCCATACCAACAGTATGCAACCCAGCTGGTGTGGGAGAGGATGAAACTGCTTATTGAACCTACAGCTGGTGTTGGAGTAGCCGCTGTGCTGTCTCAGCATTTTCAAACAGTTTCCCCAGAAGTAAAGAACATTTGTATTGTGCTCAGTGGTGGAAATGTAGACTTAACCTCCTTAACTTGGGTGAAGGAGGCTGAAAGGCCAACTCCTTATGAATCTGTTTCTGTTTAGTTTATGCAAGAGATTGGATTCAGTGTCTCTAGACGCTTGGAAAATTTGGTTCCTGGTTAAACTTCCTATCTTCCTCTCTTAAACAGCTTTCAAATTCCTAATGGAGAATGGATGTTTCAGTAAATAGTTTTTTCTTTTTTAACTAGCAAGAGAAAAACATCCATAGTTTACTGAGACACTTTGTCAAGGCCAAGAAAAGCCTTTGCAAAAAAGGCTTTGCAAAAAAAAAAAAAAAAAAAAGCCCAGATCTCTGGGCTAAAGTAGAAAACACAAACTTTGCCCAATTACAACCTATCGGCTCCCATCCCTAGAGTGTTCACTAGTAGCAATGAGACAGAATCTCAATGAATCTATTATTCCATGTCCACTTCAGGCACTGCTAAAGAAATCTCACTTTTCATCCATGGTACTGGGTCTGGTACATATGGATCATAAGTCCATTTGGGGAAAACTCGTTTATAGAGGTTCATCAGTACTGTGTCCTGAGATTTTAGCTTCCCATCAAAACTGCACTTCATGTGGCCATGAGTACCTAGAAAGAAAACAGCAAGTCGATCAAATTAAAATAGAAAATTTTAAATCAGTAGTCTTCTAACCCAACAGTCATTTTTTTTTTTTAACCCAACAGTCATTTAGTAGCACTGGGAAAACCTGGATAAGGTGCCAAATCTCATGTTTTCTTACCCAAAGGTTCCTTGATGTGTCCCCTGCGGCCCCACTTTGTTCTCAGTTCCACGGGTTTAAACCACAACACATCCTCTTAGAATGAAACACACAGAAGACCAAGATGAAATATATACCCACAAAACATAAACTCAACCCTCACCCCGGAAAGGCAATCTGATCCCATCCTTCACACCTACCTCTGCTGAAGAACATGTAACGCACTACTGCCATCTTAGTAAAAATTTTGAAAGGATGACCACTCAAAACAATTCTCTTGATGACCATTCTGTCTGGATCCACTGACAATAGATAGCCTGTGGCAATGAGGCTGTGCATGCCTAAGGAGCAAAAGCAGAATAGCAGGAGTCTATAAGCCAAAGCCTTCATTTATTGCTCTATTCCATTGAAAGACCTAAACAAGATCTTAGAGAAACTTAAAGTAGGGATATATTATGCTGTCCTCCTGGGTCCATGGCAAAGATCATTATATGAAATCCCTGCTAATTCTGTCACCAAAAGCTACCCTAAATATAGCAGTCTGAGCATCTACCAATTAGCTGTGGTTTGTAAGAAAGATAAAACTCCATTGGTCATCCTTGCCTTAGGCCATTATGGCTGAGACATATTCCAAAAACTATCATTACCTTCTTCATACAATATGGCTCTTAAATCTAAATACAAAAAATAGTTTTAAACCTATAGAGGACTTGTAGGCCTGTTTCCCTCTGTGAACTTACCATTGCTATTCTGTTTGAAAAGCAGCACAGATGCAGGAGGAAACGTGATTGGGCCATATATTGTCACCACCAAGGCCACATCAGCAGTCAGGAATCTCTGAAATTTATGTTTATCCGCTGCCATAATAAGGGTTAAAAAATATAAACCAAAAACATTTTGAGAAACCATTGGTAATCCAGAAGCCTGTGAAAAGCTACATCACTGCAACTCTTAAACCTAAGGTAACTTATGTTTCTTTACCTGGCCAGTTCAAAATAATTCCTACCTCAATACAACTGAAAGATACAACTCAGTTCCTCAGAGTGATTTTTCAACTGGAGGCAGAATTTTGGAGCTTGGACTGTATTTGGGGTTTGAAAAGGTTCTCCAGGTGACTGATTCTTATCACCCCTACTTCATTTGAGAAACAATGCTCTAGAGAATATTTCCACTAAATCAACAGTTCTTAATCTTGGACAAGGATTGGCAAACATTTTCTATAAAGGACCAGATAGTAAATATTTTAGGCCTATGGTCACACAATTTCTGTTTCAACTACTATTCAACTGTGCCACTATTGCAGAAAAATACCTATACATAATACTAAGAAAAAGGGGTTAAAAAAAAAAACCCACAACTGTGTTCCAACAAAATTTTATTTAACAGAAACAAGAGGTGGGACAGATTTGGCCTATGGGCCATTCATACTTTGCTGATCTTTGATCTTGAGGCTTCTGCTTTTACCTTCAATGAAATTCTAACCCCTTCTTAATACTGAAGTTAAAGGAAAATAAAATATTTTAAAGGAAAGAGAGGTTAATCTCTCATTTAGAGAGCACGGCTAGTAAGAACAAAAATTATCCAGAGCACCCATTTAATACTGCCTTTCTCATCTTCCTCCATCCATTAGTGAGAGCTAAATATGTATAGATGTTCAGAAGCCTCCAAGTTAATGCAAAATATCCTTCCACTCCTAATGTGTAGGAGTATAATCATTTTACCATGAAAGTGCCCCTGGTCACCACTCTTAAACATCTAGTCTCAACATCGCAGATGCCACATACCTCTTTTACCCAACTGTGGGCTACCCTTAGTCTTTACCCACACTGCCACCGGCCAAGAAATGCTAAGTAGTCTACACTTTGACACACCATTTTATAGAGCCACTGACTCCCATTCCAAACCATTTTGGAACAAATACTCATGGCAGAGAAGCCTCAGCACCACAGAAAGATTGCATCACTGGGATGCTTCAGACAGGTTCAGACATTGTGAATAAAAACATCATTGGCTCCTAGACCAGAGTACCAAAAATATCCCTCACCCAGAAACCTAGAGTTCTAGAATTTGAAATTGTGAATTCTGCACATCCCCACTACAATAATAGTCACCCAGAAGACATTAAGAATCACAAGAACCCAGAACTTCACCACTGCTTTACCTGCAGTGTGCTGAGAGAATAAAGGTGAGGCTCGGAAGCGCCTGAACCCACAGTGGAAGATTAAATCCTCTTTGGCTTTCACAGGTTCAATGTTGCCAGGGTGCCGGCTCACCACCATATTTAGTACTGACATCTGGTGACCACATAAGAAAAACATCTTCATATCTGTAACAGAGTAGCCTTAATCGAAAGACGGTGAACCAAACTAGCGGTTCAGATTCACTTTAACACTTACTTATGGAGAAGTATAGTGGACAAAGTGAGAATTACCTTTACCAACAACTGGTATTCAAGTCAAACACAGGCTGGTTTTTAGAGCCTTTTGTGTATCTTTCTATATGAACTAACATTGCAAAAGCTGAACATCTGCCACAAAATCAGTGCCTTTAAGTCACTCCCTCACCACATGCCTCAAAACTATCTCATTCAAGATGTTTCCCTCCTCAACTTTTACGCACAATGACCAAAGGCCAAAGCTCTCACATCCACCCCAACACACTTGACTGCTGGCCACCAAGAGAAAGATCTAGGCTGAGGCATAACCCCCTACCCCCCTTTAAGGCTCCCAACCTTTGGTTAAAATATGATCTGACAAGCATACTTAGAGAAGTCTCAGAACACAGAGACTGCATCACTGAGATGCTTCAGACAGGGTGACATGTTGGGTCACCATCATGGACTTTTCTACCATATTCTCTGAATTCCTAATCCTAAGGCAGATTCTTCACATCCCAGTGAATAAAATGTCACATAAAATTTTAGACTGTCATACAATATAAAACTACTTGGAAAGTTTCGTAACTCCCCATTTCTCAAGACACTAACTCACCTTCTGTTCATGAGGTAGTAAAGAAAATGCAATCAAGGGTGCTCCTCGCTTAAAGTACTCAACCACTGAGAGAGGAACTTCAGAGACGTGAAGTGTGACATACCAGCCAACCTGCCAGAAGAAAACAGGAAATAATCATGCAGTTACCCTTAAGGTCTCAATAATGAAGCATCTCTCCAAATATGTTAGAAGTCTCTTAGACTACCTTCAAAATTGCCTTTCATAGATGCCTCAACTACCCAGACTAAACTTGTTCAGTAACCATCTGATACCTCTTTGTTCTCAACGTCACTCTTACCAGTGGCTCCTTTCCTTTAGTTCAGCTATGGGCAGCACAAAACTAAATAAGGTACTCAGGTCAAGAGAAGGAATAAAGGACAGGGGCACCTTGGCAAACAAAAGCACCTTATAGGGATGAACAAAAGAAGGCAGATACCTCAGCTCCTTCAACTTCTTTTTCCTCAATTTCTTTAAAAATGCGTTTCCTAGTATTAGTAAAGTTCTGAAACTGAAAGATCCTAGCATAATCTTGAGGAAGGTTTTCCTTAGGATCCCACGGAGATGTCCGGAAGCTCTTGAGGCCTCTGTATTTCTGAAATCTAGATACGAGAGATTTTAAAGAATAGTCAAATTTATATGGTGCTACTTATTCACTCAAGTCACTTCTAAAATAGCTAAGGTTCTAGCTTAAAAAGAAAAAAGAAACACAACTCTACCACTATCTCTCAAGATAATCTAATCGCCTAAAACCACACTTCAAACAGCTTCTACAGGGGCACCTGGGTGGCAGAGTTGGTTAAGCGTCTGACTCTTGGTTTTGACTCAGGTCATAATCTCAGGGTCCTGGAACTGAGCCTCACACCTAGCTCCATGTTGCACTGGGAGTTTGGCATGGAGTCTACTCGGGATTCTCTCGCTCTCAAATAATTAAAATCTTAAAAAACAAAATGAAACAAAACAAAAAACCAGCTTCTAACAAATACTTCAGAGCCAAGCCCCAATCCCTCACTGAAAAAAGACAAAAGTCCTTACAGTAGCTCCTTCAGGGAGTGGCTCTTTAATCTGGTAGTCAAGGTCCTTGATAAAAGTCTTACCTCTCCCTAATATCCACCATAAACTCTCTGGCTTTAGTCAGACTCACTTCCAGAGCAGACAGACATGGTGATTTGCTCTTCATACTTTTATTCTTGCCCAAACTCCCCCAAATCTCCAAATGTTTTATACTTTTAGTATTAGCTCCTATAGGAAGCCTTTGCTGATTCATCTTAGTATCTCTTTCATTAAAGTATGGTAACATCATTAGTCTGTAACCATACAGCCCACCACTTGATTATATATTACTGTTTCCTGTATGCATGTCTTACCTTCCCAAACAAAATATTAGCGCTTCGGGAGTAGGGACAATGTGTTTGTCTCCTTGCATCATACTGACATAGTTCTGAACTACAGAAATTTTAAATAAAAACATACTGATTTTAGACTTGTTGACTAACCTAATTCTTGCAGCCACATCACGGGGGGTATCTATTTCATCTGGAAACATCTCTTGCAGTCTTTCTTGTTTATATTTCTCCAACATTTTTTCCTCAGCCTCATCATCCACATTCTCATCATACAGATCATCATGGACAGACTCTCCCATAGTCATAGTTTCATATTCCTCCTCCTCTTCCTTTTCACTGCCTTCATCCTGTAGAATAAAGAGTACAGTTTCACACCTATCTCTACCCTACAGACCACTGAACTAGAAAGACAATAATTTCACTGGACATCCAGTCCAAACCAATATCAATTCTAATAGAGATGAAGTTTTAAAAAGTCTCATTTCTGGCTGCTACAAGTCATTCCTAGGAAACTGATCACATACACCCCCTCAAGGCACTTTGCCTTGCATTTGGGGCTGTACATGGAAGTGGACCAAGGGTCAATTTCTTTACCTGAGATTCCTCTTCAATAAAATCCTCACGTTGCATATCATCATATTCATCTTCCCCATCACTTTCACCATCCTCATCCAAAATCCATTCAGCTTGGTAACTGGATGTCCCTTTGGGAACCTTCTTTACCACCTTGGAACTTTCCTTCAAGAAGTCTATAAAAGCCCAAACAAATTAAGCTAAATTATACTCCTTCTTTCCCTTATTACTCTGGCAAGACAACCGAGGCAAGATACTAAATACTGCTACCAACACCAGAAGTTCTGATACTATGAGTAGAACAGACTACTTCCAAATTTAATTCAGCTGCCTCAGGACTAGCGCTACTTAAGAGACATAGCAATACTACACAGCTAAATAAACTTTGCAGCAAATCAAAGTTGTTTGCCTGTTTGTTAAAAAAACAGTAACACAAGTAATTTTGAAAAATGGAGCAAAGCTGTGTCCAATGTTTGTTTGCTTGGTGCAAACATAGCCCTTAAAGCTAAGAAAACTGATGTCCAAATACATCCTCATCTCACTCTACCCTAAATATGAGCAGCTAGAGAAAATCCACAGTTCCAAGCCAGACGAATTACAAACAAGTTTGCCAATACCAACCATTTGCTTCACTAAGCTCCTCCTCTGTGGGCCAGGTCTGCTCCCCCTCCATTGGATCTAGGTTAACCTCTGTTTGCAAAGATTCGTGTTTATCAGGGTCTGCCTTCATTACGAACTTAAGGTCTTCCTCCATATCAGCTACAGCATCCATAGCACAAATCTGAAAAATAAAATAGGTGACGCCAAACATTACCCAAAAATCTACCAAATCTAACAACGTAACCAGAAAGATCCAAAAATTAAAAGAATGAAGTAGAAACAGCTGAAATTTGTCAAATGTTTCAAACATTTCAGTTTTCTAGCATTTTAAGTCTAACCTCTGGTTTTGAGGGCTTTCATAATCTGGTCTCACTCCTACCCATTTGTTACATACCTTACTTCCATCAAGCTGATTTCTTCAAAGAAACCCTCTGATCTCTCACTGTCCTAGGTTCATGTTGTCTCTATCTTCTTCAATACGGTTTCATCTCGTCAACTCACAAGTCACATTCATCCCTCTTAAGACCTGGCTCAAGCCTGCTCTTCTATGAAGCTCACTACTTTCTTAACTTCCACAGCAGGTCTATACCCTAACCACACCTTTTCAATTTTTTTTCATAGCTGTTTGTCATTTTTTCTGATCTAAATAAGTTGTCTAAGGAAAGAGACAGCATCTTGTGTGTCTTCTATAAACTCAGAACCAACTGCTGTGCAAGGCACCTCCAAGTGCTGGATAAATACGTGATATGTCAACATTGTTCACAGCTGACAACTGCCTTACTTCAAACTAGCAGTTACCTCCAGAGACTTGTCCAAATGCAGACTTCTCTGATTATTAGTTCACACCCTACATCAGCTTACACATGCATCTACAACATACAATCTTTAAGAACATCAATCTTGGAGAGACTGGGTCGCTCAGTGGTTGAGTGTCTGCCTTTAGCTCAGGTTATGATCTCAGGGTCCTGGGATCAAAACCCACATCAGGCTCCCCGCAGAGAGCCTGCTTCTCCCTCTGCCTCTCGCTCTGTCTCTCTCATGAATAAATAAATAAATCATTTAAAAAGGGGGGGGGGAATGCCTGGTGGCTTAGCGATTGAGTGTATGTCTTCAGCACTATCCTGGAGTTCCAGGATCATGTCCTGCATCAGGGTCCCTGTATGGAGCCTGCTTCTCCTCCTGCCTGTGTCTCTGCCTATCTGTCTCATGAATAAATACATAAATTAAAAAAAAAAAAAAAAAAAGAACATCAGTCTTACCTCCATTGCCACACCCGGGTCCTCCTTTTGGGATTTGATCATTCTAAAATTTAAAGGGAAAGGGTCCATAGGGGCATCTATCTGTTTCATCTGGAAATCACCCTGTCCAATGATATGCAGCAAGCTATTTACATTTAGAGTCTGTCCACGAACATAGCCTGAGATTTTTAAGGTGCCCACCAAGTTATTTTCTTCACTCGGCACAAAGTGAGCAGTGTGAGCAAACAGGTAGGCCCGTCGATCTCGAAAGGCAAGATGCCGTTGCTTTTGGTTGGCCAATTGCCTGAGCAGCATCTCTGCCTCCTGCTGAGTGTCTAACAGAAGAAGTTTGTCACTAGGAAAACGCTTCTCTACTGTTTTACTTAGCTTCTTTCTGGCATCTATTTGTTTCCTTGGTGGGAGGCCAGAAATGCCCTGGACAGCTAGCGCTGTGAAGAAGAGAAAAAGGGTTTTATCTGTTGCTTTACCACATGTAAATCCCCCCTGTAGTTCACAAACAAGCTAACAGTTCAGTTGTGAGCTCAGAGATCACCGAAAAACCCAACATTCAACTACTCTAAAAAATTTTATAATGAAAAAAAATTCATATTCTTCTTCCTCTAGAGCAAGAGTAGCCCAGAAATAAAAAGGCACCTTGATAATTTCTAAGTGATGGACCAAATTTAAGCCATACATGTACTATCAGCCAAATACAACCCACCAGTTATATCCCTGTATCATGTTGGACACGGTGCCTGGCAAATTATAGGTGCATAATAAAATGCTAATTAACTTCCCTCCTTTGCCTTTAATACTCCCAACTCACTTACTATACGTGGGAAGGCCCTGAGCAAAGAGGCAGGAAAGGCAGTAATCCCCAATGCTGTCCCAGCCTTCTAGTGGATCAAGGAGGAAAAGGATGGTATCCGCCACTTTGGCCATGTCTAACACAGTGTGCAGATCCCCTATAGATATAAAACGATGTTAGTAGAAAGTGGTGTTTGGCACCATCACGTTATACTAAAAGAACATTACCAAACTCAAAACATAACAATAGAAAGTACTGTTGTATGCTCTAACCTGGCCTTGCAGATGTGAAAAACCACCGATGTTTCAAGCGAGGGCATAACAACATAAAGCTATGGGTGCTTCCGCATTCATTCAAGTGTACTGTTCCGGTGTCTGTATCCTGAAGCAACCGAAAGGCCTCTGGCAGGGAAATCTTGTCATGGAGGGGCACCACCAGTACCTGATGAGGAGGACCATCCTTGCTGCCCAACTGTCTCTTCTCTGCCAGAACCTAATAGAAGGAATCCATGTTTCAGTATTGCCTTTCCCACAGTATGGATGCCCCTTCCTCACCCCTCACTCCCCACTCCCAGCCCACTGCATTTTTCTTGTAAAAGGAGGCATGTATGCCTGGAGAGTGAGCAGGAACTCGGACCAAAGCAAAAAATGCCCTAGCATGAGTATAGATCTGCACGCCTGACATGTGCTCCACAGTTATTCTTCATTCCCAGCCCCTTCCCGGGGTCACATTTTTTAGTTCGACGCATTATCCGCCTAGAACAATTAGAAGCCACACCATTCCCCAACCCCTGCTCCTCTCACCGCCTCTTTCTTCTGCTTTCGGAGCTGGCTAGCGCGATGCCTCTGGTCTGCTTTGCTGAGCTCTTTTCTCACCTTCTTGCTTAGGATTTTCAGACCTAGAAAAAGATCAGTAAGGAATCTTGTCCTTTTGGACAAGAAAGGGGACCCACTCCGCCCAACTTAAGAGTGTCCGCGGGGTCCAGGCCAGAGATAGGAGCTCAGTCTGGACATAAAGGAAAGCAGCTGATATCGACTAAATTGCCCTTCTTCCTCCAACCCTATCTCCTCACCCTTGCCGTCCCGCTGCGCGGATCCCCGACCCCGGTGCCGTCCGCCTTTATGGGCTTTATTCTGCTGCTTGAGCGGGCCAGAACGGTGGGCCGCCATGTCCCCGCTCACGTGCACGCAATCAGCACTAGTTCCGGGCGGGACCCAGCGCTTCCGGCCCCCTCTTTGGACGGCCCTCTCCGTGGCGGGCGGAGCTCCCGTTTCCTCTCGCGATAGGTCTCCCGACCAGCCTTAGGGAGCTGGACGCCCGCGTCTCCGCAACGCAGCGGAGAAAACTTTTCTCCCGCGGCGGTTGGCCGCTGGGGGTCTTGAAAAACCGGATGTAGTTAAGAGGTTTGGGCTCTAGGTGCCGGATGGCTTTTTGCCACCTATATGTTCATTCTGGGATCTACCAAGTTGTATCAGTAAGGAAGCTGCTGAAGTTTCTGCATTCGTGCGAGAGGGCTAAGCCCTCCTCTCAGCTAGATTTGTGCACGTCCTTCCTGTTTGCAGCAGCAGGTGTGTTCCGCTTTGAGCAACCCTTTCTTCTGTTGGGCTGCTCAAGTCTACGGGGCAAATGGTGTGGAAGGCACTTCTCTCACCTTTATGGGCTCCATACAAGTTACGGCTGGTCCCAGTTACTCCAACTCGCGCCCCTACCACCCATGTAGCTTCAGGAAGGACAAGACTGGAGAGGGAGAGCTGACCTTGACCTCTTCAGGCTCGGGGCGGCTGTGCTTCCACCCCTCTTCCCAACGCTTTGCAGCTAAGGGCCACCGGCTGGCAGAGGGATCTAGAGGAACGATGGAGTTCTGGCCTTTCAGCCAGGAGACTAACGCTGTTTTCCTGGTAGCCAGACTCCAGGCGCGAGGGACCCTGGCCATTCCCGTCGGGAAAACGAGCGGGCAGGAATCAAGGAGCGTCTGGCTGGTTGGAAGCCAGTTCCGATGTGAGCAACTTTCCCTCAGTCGTGGGGTCCGGGGCGCGCCACCACCCCGCTCAGTGCTGTGCAGAGCTGGCCGCTGGCGCTCACAATGCTGGTTCGCACCCTCGGGGCAGGAGTCGGCGCGTTGCCATGACAGCGGCCCGCGAGGCGCGCGTCTGGGGGCCCACCACCCCCAGGCGCGCGCTACTCCCTCCTTCCCGACCTCCCCCCCCCTCATTGTGGAGCGCAACCCCCCCCCCGCCCCCGGCTGTGGGAAGGGGCCGGGCCAGCCGCCTGACGTCTGTGCGGGGCTCGGAAGAAGGCTGCGGAGCCCAGTACCGGGCAGTGGCTGCGGCGGCGGGCGGGGAGCGCAGCGCGCGGGGGCTCCGCCTTGCGCGTGGGGCGCTGAGCAGAGAGGCGCGGAGGCGGCGAGGGTGCGCGGGGGCCTTGGGGGGTAGCTCGGCGTCGTCTCCCCGCCACCCGCCGCACCATGGGCAGCGCGGAGGACGCGGTCAAAGAGAAACTGTTGTGGAACGTGAAAAAGGAGGTAAAGTCCGGGGAAGGACCCCCGGGGGCTCGCGCCTTGCCCCCGGGCCCCGGGTTGCGGAGGGGCGCGAGCGGGCCCGTCCTCCCCTCCCCCTCTCCTCCCCCTCCCCCGGGACGCCGCTGCTCTCGGGCCTGTGCCGGGCGGAGACCGGGTCATGGACTCTCTCGGATCTACAGACAGCACCCCTCGGTCCGAGGGACCAGGCCGGCGCTCCGGCGCTGATTTGCTCCAGGATCCCGCAGTTCCCGGCCCTGTGACGGAAGCAGTCCTGGGAGACCAGGGTCGGGGGAGGGGTGGCGGCGATTTCTGGAGAGGTGGTGCTACCCATTCATTGCCCCCCGCGGCCTGGGGAGGGCCCCGCACGGGCCTCCACCTGCGCTAAACGGTTTGGGGGCTTAGCTCCGGTTTGCGCTACGCCGGTTTCAGGGATTCCCCTGGGAACTGAGTCGCGACTGCGGGAGGGTTTGTCGCACACCGCACTGCTGCCACTCCACGCCCACCTCCCTACCGAGAGACCACGATGAAGGGGCGGTTGAAAATGGTTTTTAAGACTTACTTTCCCCTATTTGAGGAGCGCACCCCCCACCCCAAAAGTCAGGAATAGAGGAGTCCTTCCCTGTACTGATGTCCTTTATCTTGACCCTGCTCTAAAGCCCATTTCAGTTTCATTGTGTGTTTGGGGGGCGGGGGGAAACCCATAGGAATGACTCACCGTGTATGAGAGCTGGAGAGCTCAAGCCTGCAGGATGGATTAGAATGGATTAGGCCTCTAGAACTGTGAACTCCTTGCACCTACCTTTGTGGCTGTCTTCTACCAGTTGTTCAAACTCCACAAGGGCAGGAAACCTGTCTGTTTTGTCCACTGTTCTGTGTCTAGGACTTGACACACAGTAGGCACTCAGTGAGTTTTTGATAAATATCTTGGAGACTGCAAGATGGTGGGGATCCATAACCTTGGAATACTCTGAACCTAGCTCTGTTACTTGAATAAGTTATTTAATCTCCTTGAATCTTAATTTCTTCATCTCTGAAAGGATGTGTACTTCATATATGAAAGTTTACCATATTGGTTCCTTTACCCCTTCCGAGAGTTTTAGGATTGGAGAAGACTCTGGGTTCTCATAAACTTCTGTAAGGCTCTAGATGGTTCTGCTGCATTAACTATGGCCTGACTACATGTATTTGTTCCCTTCTTATTGGCAAAGAAGTGGTTGAAGCCATCACCTTTCCAGCTGTGTGTGTGAGAAGCTCTCTTGTAAGGTGGCCAAGAAAGTATTTTAGGCCAGGAGTATTATCAAATCAGCATTTAAACCCTCCAGCCCTGTGCTCACGTCGGCAGCACATATACTAAACCCCTCAGCCCTGATCTCCCCCAAGGAAAAGGGAAATCCCAAGTCTTAGTTTATCCTCAGGAAACAGTCTAGTGACAGAGACTCATATGAGCAATATAAATAAGAAAAAGTAGCCATACCTAAACTATGGACAGATGTGCTAGAATTGTTGGTGTGATCCAAATTTAGGGTTGATCAGGGATGTAGGAAAGATTTTTTTTTTTGGTATATTGTTTTATTGGAGTTCGATTTGCCAACATTTAGTATAACACCCAGTGCTCAGTGCTCATCCCGTCCCATGTAAGAAAGATATCTGGAAAAAAAAAAAAAAAAAAAAGAAAGATTTCTGAGAAGACTAAGTATAATTCTTTTTTCAATACTTAGAAGGCTGTTTATACTACTCTTAGAATTATTCTTTTTATATATATATATGTTTTATTTATTTATTCATGAGAGAGACACACAGAGAGAAGCACAGACACAGGCAGAGGGAGAAACAGGCTCCACGCAGGGAGCCCGACATGGGACTCCATCCCAGGTCTCAGGACCACACCCCGGGCGGAAGGTGGCGCTAAACCGCTGAGCCACCCGGGCTGCCCCTATACTACTCTTAGAATTATTCCTAAACAAATCTGAGAAATGTCCAAAATATGCCACAGCTACGTATATTGCCTGACAAAGTTTAACCTTCTCTCAGTTCTTAGTTCCCTTCTCCCTTCAGCACTTAAAGAGAACCATATCCTTTCCTCTTCTATGAGTAGAAACAATGGGGCTAATTATAGGCAAGAGCAGTCTTTCAAAACAAAACCTCTGGTATAATTCTAGAGTCATCTGTAGGTCCTTCTAACCCCAGAATCTGCCCTACCAGCCTGTTTCATATGCCTGCAGGTCTTTGAGCTGTGACTTTATGCTTTGTTTAATACAAACCCCTTAGAATGTAATCTAAGATGCTTTTAACGGTTTAGAATACAGGATCAATCTGATTTCCCTCTACCTAACTGCTAACCACGAACAGCTTCCAATAGAGAGAAGCCACTAGGCCCTTCTTCCCTCCTCCCCAGGCTTTAGAAGCTTTACCATTCTCCAAACTGTACAGTCCTAGATAAGGGCCTTGGGAACAAGGGCAGCATTAGAACATTGAATGCCATGACCAAAGAATGGCAGACATACTCTGCCCAGAGCTTACTTTTTTTGTAAGATTTTATACTGGGATTGAGGTAATCCATTTCTCTAATCTTCCCTTCTCTTCCCACCCTTATTTACTCTCTACTCTGCAAGTGTCTGAACCCAGACTAGGAAAGCAGGACCAAGCTATTTATTTGCTCACAAGCCTTTGGTTAGAAAAAGAAATAAGATGCTGCCCTTTTGTCCACAGGTGAAACAAATCATGGAGGAGGCTGTCACCAGGAAGTTTGTGCATGAGGATAGCAGCCACATCATTGCTCTGTGTGGTGAGTGACTGGGGGCAGTGAGAAGTGGGTTTAATACGGAGGACACTGTCCTAAGCCAGGGAAAGATGAGTCCTTAAGTTTAGTAGTTTTCAAATATGGCTGCAAATTAGAATCCAACTCTGAAGCATTTGAGATCTCCCTGGGCCTGGTCCCCAACCTACTGAATCAGGATCTCCAGGGCCCGAGGATATCTATATACATCTAGTTCCCTTGATCTTTTGTATGCATCAGAGTCACCTGAAGAGCTTATTAAAACACAGATTCCTAACAACCCTGAAATTTCTGACTCAGGTAGGTTTGGGGCAGGCCTGAGAATTTGCATTTCTGACAGGTGGTTCTGAAGCTGCTGGTCCAGGACCACACCCTGAGAACCACTGACCTAGGTAATTCTGGTTTGGGAATCACTGCTCTGGTTTATTTCTACTTTAACTTTGGGGGAAGGGTTTGTGTTTTCGGGTGCTTTCTGTGCCACATCTACTTTCTAATTAATCCCACCTGGCATCCCAGCTTTCCAAGCACTGGCTTGGGTGCAAAACAACAGGAGCTATGACAGGAGGGAAAGCCAAAAGCCCTCTCACCTTACAAGAGGAAAAGTCTGTAAGAAAGCATCCCTTCAACTTCACTGTGAAGACTTCTGACTTTGCAGGGACAAGCCTATCTCTATATACAATAGAGTTCTCTTAAATTTCCAAAAATTTGATCTTCCTTTCAGCTCCCTTTCTGAAGAGACAGTTTGCCATCTCTCAAACTGTTGTTTTCCTTGGCCTCTGAGATTGGTGTTTGGGATTTGTGAAAGGGAAGTTGTGTATTTCCGAGAGGAACAAATGAAAGGAGCACTGTTTGACAGTAGCGTGGTGAGGCAAATAGAGCTGCCTGCCATCAGTCCAGCAACAAATGCT